CCCATTAGCTACAACTAATGACAAAAATCCACCTCCTCTACTCCCCATAAGTTCTGTAAGTTATGGGCAATGCTACAGCCATTACTAAAAGCTGTTAACTTCATATCTGAATGAGGAAATATACACCACAGAACATTAAACCATTTATATTATATATATGTATATATATACTTTTTTTAAACTAATGACTTTAATGCCAAAACTTTGCTGAACCAAGAAAAATATGGGTTTAATGTTCTCTGCTCATTTTTTCTTCTTTAAAAAAAATACAACCAAAAAAAAAAGAAAGGGAAACTTATTAGTATGTAATGTTTGAGTCTATCCCATTTATACACAACATTGTAAACATATATAATCTATATTACATGTGCTTCATTTCTGCCTGGGTGTGTTTTTTTTTTTCTTTAAACCTTTTTTTATCACTAGAACACCACAAAAAAACCAAAACAGAACCAAACCAAAACCCAAACCAAAACAAATAAAAACGAAACAAAAAAACTGAACAAAGAACACAAGTTACAGGTTATTTAACATCTTTCTGTCAAGGGTCCCTTCCCCAGTCTCCTGGGGGCAGAGTGGTCAACAACACAGTCCAAAGGAGGGCTCACAAGCCATCCGCGATGCAAAGCCAGCTCCAGGGAACAGGTGGATGGGGAATACTGGTTTTAAAAAAGGGGGCTTCACAACAAAAGGTTTGGTTTTGCCCGCTGCAGATGCTGAAGGAGGTCACAACAAGCGGGACCTGGGAGCCGAGGCTCCCTGCTGCTCCTGTATCCTCAAGTCCATGTCTGGAGTCTCTGGTTTGTTTTTTTCTTTATATTTTAAAACGTCTTTTTTTTGTTGCTGTCGTTCTTCTCCCCCTTGGTGTGATGAGCTGAGCCGAGTAGCTGGGTCCCACCCTCCCGCTGGGTCCTTCATAAGTAGATACGCCGAAGGTCTCCGGGAGACGTGATGGTGTTACACTGGGGACACAGCTTCTTGGCACCCTGCAACCAGCAGATGAGATGAACAGCGTGAGAGAGCGAAGGAGGACAACCCGCGTGGCCCTGCCCTTGGCCTGGGATCTCACAGGGAGCAGCACAGGAGAAGGGGCAGCAAGGCCACCCCCCTTCCCCTCCAAGCAGGGCCATGCCCTCCCAACAGCGGGCACAAGCTGTGAGGAGTGGGAGCCCCAACGACTTTCTGGCCTGCCCTGCAAGCCCCTAATCCCATTCCAGTCTCCGGCATGAGGCAGCTGGGCAGGCAGGAGCTCTGCAGGAGGCTGAAACCCAGGGTCAAGACACATCACCAAAACTCAGTAGCTCCAGGGAGAGGAGTCTCTGCAGGTGGATCGGCCTGAGCCCCCATCCCACCGCACTGCTGTCACTGGCTGCCAGGCAGATCTGCTCCTCTCCACTTCCCTTGACCATCTGCAGCCTCCGATGAGTCAGTTCAGGTCACTGACCAGGCAGAAAACCAACCCAGCTGGAACAAGTGCAGTTTTCAGCTGGGGTGACTGAACTGAACCAGTTCATGGCGGGCTTGGACCTTCCCTTTCAGGGCAGCGCACCGGGGGACTGCCTCGGCCGTCCTGCGAAAGCCACAGAGCTGCTGGATCTGCCCCGTCCTGCCGCTCCCAGCTCACGGAGATGCTGCAGAGACGAGCCTGTTCTGCCAAGGTGAGCTGCAACCAGCAAACAGTGAGCTGGGGCGAGGTAATGGGCGGCTGACACGAACACTACATGAAATAAAACAAGGGCTGATGTGCCATCTGTCACCGAGCCTGACAGCAAGAGGGTGTTAATAAGCCTCAGAATCGGGGTCAACCTAAGCTGGTCATCATTAGATTGGCAGATGTGACAGACAGTTGATGGGAAAAATGACAGAAAGATGTCTCTGCTGCTGCGAGGAAGCCTCCCGTCTACAGCAGCAGCAGTGCAGGAAATTGGGATGCCCTGGCTTTCCACACCGACCGCAGTCTCAACACGACCTCCCGCTGCACAGAACTGGGCACAGGCTCTGTCCGAGCACCCCGAGTTTTGCTCTCTGCTGTCAGACAGGCCCTTCCAGCAGCTAACGCCCAGCGCTTGGCATGACAAGCGAGCTGACAGGGACGCAACATGCCGTGTGGAAGCCTGCTGGCTTGCACAGGGCTTGCTGGCAGAGCTGAAGCCATTCGGTTCAGTGATGCTGCTGCTCTCCCTTAGCCAGCCTTGTTTCAGTACCTGCAGCAGTGAGCGCGGCAGCTTGCAGGACGTGGACTGAGTGGCAGGGCAGGACCGTGACCTGCCACAGTGCTTCAGTACTGCTGCCTGCCTTTGGGGACGTCCCTAGCAGAGGAGCTGGCACTGCTGCTTACAAAAGGCAAGCATCCTTAGGTCCTCTGCTCTGTGACACCAGTCACACTGCAGGACATGGCTTTCCCCCCTGGAAGTTCCCCAGACTAAGGAGAACCTGGAGGAGAGAGTCCCAGGTACAGAAAATTTACATGGGTGCAAGTAATTCACAGGGATGTCGCTCCAAAGAGGTGCAAGTCATGTTTTCTCTGCAGTCTTGAGTACCACCAAAAAGCCCCTGCAGACCAGCCTTGAGCCAGCCCCCTCCATGCTCCCAGTGCACATTATTCCTGGCAGACAGGGACTTTGCACACTCACTGTTCCACGAGCTTTGGACTTCTGAGCAATCAAGCTCCCATTTGACACCCCTGCTGCCAGCGTCTGAGCTGCTGCCCCAACACACGTCGGAACCGCAGGCACTTGCACCTGAGATCTAAAACAGCCACATACAAAGTCCTGTTGAACTAGAGTTGAATGAAACACAGAACGGACACCCAAGACACTTTGGATGTCACTCCCAGAGTGAGTGACAGTCTGTCAGTGGGACAGACCACTGGTGGTCTGGATAGTGCATCTAGTTCTGGTGCTGATGCTTGTGGGCGCGTCCTTCTAGCTGCCTGGGACCTATCTTATCCCTTCTCTATCTACCGTGTCTGTTTAGATTCTCAGTGTTCGGAAGCAGGGACCATCTCACTGTGCCTGTGCAATGCATCAGGCAGCCCCATGCACCGGTCTTCACAGAGTTGATTTGGCATACTGGATTCTGGGAAGCACAAACCACAACTGGCAGGAAAGGCTTAAAACCCTGATGAATTCAAAGACTGACTGCACTGGATTTTAACAGAGACTATTTATATAACACGCCTCTTCGCTTGTGCTCAAGACCAGAGCTTAGGATCTCCAGCATCAGAAAAGGGCAAGCTCTAACACTGCATGTCCCAGGAAAAACTTCCTGCAGCAGCTACGACAGGTAGGAGAGAAAAATCTAAACAACTGCCCCTTCTGCCACCTTTAAAGCCACTGTGTTCCAGGCTACATTGCTGAGGAGGGGCTCACTAATCTGGCTGGAAATGCCATGAAACAGCCTGTTTCAACTGAGTTCCTGCTCGGGCCTGCATCGACATGCAGTTCCCCAGTCCTCAGAGGCGCCTGTTGCATCTGGTTGGCCTCTTGGCATCATCTTTGTAGCTGGAGGGTCCCAGGGGAAGTGGCACGGAGGTGCTGAACAATTAATTCACAGCATGTTGTCAAAGGGGCAGCAGTTGGCAGCTGCCTGTTTGAGCTTTCCTGTGTGCCCTGACAAGCAGAAGTAAGTGTGCATGGGGACTTTAAGGCGTTCCAGATGTGACTACTGCACACATCTGTGTGCTCTTCTTCCCAGGACAGGCACAGCTTATTGGCAAGTGGCAAAAAAGTATCCGAGTACCTGGCGTTTCTAACTCTCTGGACAATGCACCAGGGAGAGGTACCTTCTGCAAAACCAGTCCCCTGACCCCTCAAAGATCTCAGCCTGCCTTCAGTCCTGGGCAAAGGATGAAGGAAAGTGCTTGCTGCCATCTAAAACCATGCCCCTCTATTCCTCAGTGCTCCTGCGCAATGCTGAAAAGTTATTTTCTTTTAGCCCTGCTGAAGTTGGAGGTGTGCGTGGGTAGGGAGGAGCACTGAATCCCCTTGAGCTGATTTTTGCTAAGAGCAAACCTCAGCTGCCGCCATCCACCGTCTTGCATCTTGTGCTCCGTTCTGGGTTTGGAGGTGGACTGAGGCAGCTGCAGGCAGATGTGTGTGACCCTCAGTGAGGGCAACCTCACTAACACAGACTAGTGTCTGTGACAGCTAGACGCTAGCTGTCACCAGACAGCTCAGTGTGGGAAATTTTGGAAGGACAGATTCCCTGGAAAGCCACCCTGCCCAGGTCTCTCCAAAGGCTGCCCAGGTGCTCGCTATAAGCACAAGTTGTCCTCACTCAGCCCACAGGATGGCAGAACAAGCCTGATTAAACCAACAGCAGCTTTGCTCCTCTCTTCCATGGCAAAGCAAGGTCAGGTATGTAATTCCTTTACACCACAGGGGAAGGGAAGATGGGTGGATTTATCCTGCCAGACCTTGGGATCTCTGTCCCGGAGATCTGCTTTCTGCACCACATGCTGATGGCTTCAGGGGGATCCACCCTCCCTACCTAAGGCTGAGAGCTGCACATGGGCAGCCAGGGACAAGTTTTCCACCACGCCAGAAGGCAGAACCCAACCACATGTAGCTTGACACATTTTCTGCAGAAGCTCCATGACCTGATTGCAGGTTCATTTAGGGCAGTGGTGGATGTTGCTTCCCCTGCACGCAGGGAGGGCAGCTCATCTTGAGCTCTGAAGCCCGAGTGCACTGGAAGGAACAACGGCATCCTAGAGCCCTTCAGCAGCCTGGCCTGAATGCTGCGCAGGCTGACTGCACGTGGCACGCCGGGCCCGGGTCTCTGGGTCTCCCTAGTACTTATGCTTGGTATTAAACAGTTCAAGCAAAAATAATGACTTTGGACCCTTGGGGAAGCCTTTTTCTTTTTTTAAATAAAGCTGTCATCTTCTGCACATCAGCATGTGTGTTAAATTCAGAACTATGTCCTGAGATTGAAATTGCTTAGAACCTTATTCCTTACATCTGACTTTTCAGTGTAGGTGTACAACGTTTATTGGCACTAGCATTTAAGCTCTCATCTCTTGTACAGAGGCACATAAGCTTGTACACACACACATGCTGGCACAGGCACAATGAAAAAGCATTTGCTCCCCCACTGCTCACCTGCCAGCTGGGGTTACTAAACTTTTCCCTTGAAATAAAAATGCTGTGGAATAATAAGTCCCACCTGTAGGCCATTTCTTTCTTTCTTTTTTTTCCAGGTCCTTCTGCTCCTTTCATCATAGCTTCATGGAAAAGCCTTGATGTGTTATAGCTGCGTGTGCTAGAGTGAAGGCCACCTCAGCTTTTCCATTATAAACCCCAGTTTTGAGGGGTTTATAAAACTCTGCTGCAAGAAGTTTGCTCCAGGGCTGTTACAAAGCAAAGAAAAGGAGCTGGAACCAGGATGGAGTTTATTTTTTCTCCTCTTTTCTTAATTAAAATTTGGCAAGTGATTGATCCACAATACAGGCTAATCACTTGGGGTAGTAGTTTGAAAAATACATTAACGAGAGCTGAAATGTTGAGAAGTCGTTAGGGCTCACATGGTGCCAGGAAGGATTGGAGTATTTTGTCTTAAAGTTGCCTCTTAAAAAAAATGGCGTGATGTCTGCTGTAAATTGGCTAATGCAAGAAAACTCAAAAGGAAGGATTTAGGCACTTCCTGCTGTCCTGTGGGTCTAAAAATGAGCAATTTCCAAGCAGATATGCTACCAGGCACAGCGAATAAAGAGGTACACACACACAGAGCGCAACTTTGCCACTGTCACACCTGGGCTCAAAGCTTGCCTGTTTTACAGCAAGGAAAACCAAGGTAGAGAGATGGCAGGAGAGACCCAAACCAAGATCCACCTTCCATCAGGTGAGGAATTGAACTCCAAGACCCAATTCTCAACCAAGGCAACAGCCCCCTCTTCCACCCACAACTGCACATGAAGTGGCAGCTTCCCTGCTGCAAATGCTAATTCCCAGCGAAGCATCTGTTCACCACTGCTGTCGTGGGGTACCTCCAGTTGTCAGGTAGCGGGGTTAAAGCAATCAGGAGTGCAACCATTTTCACAGAACCTCCTCAAAGGGTGGAGCTCCTCACCCCCACAGGTTGTTGGGAGGCCAAAACTGAAACATGTTAATAAATAACCAGACAGCCTCACAGCAGATGGGAACATCATGGAGGATCAAGTGCAGCATCCTCCATGCAGCTGCTGACTCAGGAGGTCCCTATGTTGCTGGAAGCACTAAAGAATCACCCAAAAGGATTGCTCTGTATCTGTGTTGTTTCTTACAAAAATACTCCAGCCTGCATGGGATATATGGTATTATAGCCTAGAAAAAGCGACAAGGCTCAGAACATAGCAGTGCAATCTACCAAAGATATAAATGTGTCAACTGCAGAGCATACGTATCTATCGATGGATCCCCGGGAAACATATTCTGTGATAAAGAAGGCTTTTTAGACATGATTTTTTTCCTGCTCTTGCAGTTGTCATTTTCAAATAAGCCCAAGACAGGCGAGTACAAGCCTGGGGTCAGCAAATACACATAGGAATGCTGGATCTGGCTGTACAAATGACGGGGGAAACTCAGCAAGCTGCACCTGCTCAAATATACCTGCGCTCTTTCAGCCCCTGCACACCTGCACCCACCAACAGTTCCATCACTGGCAAACCACCACCTGACTTAGCTTTTAACTCCATTTACATCATAAGGAAGGATACCAGGGTTTGGGAGATCACAGAACCACAGCTCAGAGGGACATCAAGAACTCACGGACCCATTCCCCCAGCAAGATCTCTCAACTTGAATTACTGCTGAGGGACATGCACCAAACCTGTTCTTGCAACCCTCCTCGGATGGAGGCTCCAAACCTCCCCAGCAAAGCACTGCAGCAGATTGCCAGTCTTTACTGTCAGAGCACTCTTCCCAGAAGGAAAATATGAATCTCACCCATGAGGGGCTGTAGGGTCCCTCTCTGTTAATGGGGAAGGATAGAGAAGGGGCAGACAAACCTTCCAGAGGGAGAATCATCTCCCATCACCCACTGACTCAGGGTTGTAGTCAAACAACCAGCTGAGGATGGACACCTGCTGAAAGGATGGTTGACATTCAGGGAAATGAACCCCTCCTCCTGCTGCCCAGGCTAAGCCTTCCCCCTGCAATACCACCATTTCCCCTCCTGTCTTGGAAGAACCTGCATGTGTCTTCAGGGGTTTCCAAACGGTATCACAGGGGAGTCACTCCAGGCTAGTGTCCCAGTTTCTGCATAACTTGAAGATATTAACTAGCTCTCTGCATGCAGGATGGATGAATGAAAAATGTCACTGCGCTGAGTGCCCCAGACAATCAGCAAGTAGAGAGTAGCAACCCCATCGGTATGGTTTGACACAGCAACACAAAATCAGCAGACAAACCCACATGACAAAACAGGTAATATATACCGGGGAATATTTTTTCCTGGGAAAGCAGGCACAATCACATGGCATCAAGCAGCATGTTCTTGTATCCCTCTCCCTGTCTCCATTCCTGTTGTGCCTGCAACCACAGAGCTGCCCATAGCGTATGCAGCGTATAGCATACCTTTAGTCCGTGTCCCCTGGACCACAGCCCTCAGGCAGAGCAGTTCTCCTCAGAGCAAGTGGAAAGAGAGAAAACCACAACTCATGATGTCCTGACGCTGAGTAAAGGGATGGTTTCTCCCTTTCTCCATCGCCACCATGAAGACGATCACCTAACCAAGCAACTTCCGTTTGCACTGAAGTGCTGGCTAACTCGGTGAGCACCATGATCTCGGTTCTCTTAAGCCATCTCTAGTGTCCCTTTCTGCGACCCCGGCCTTTCCCTCCTGTTAATCCAACACAGCAACAGGAGATAGAGATGGAGTCTGCTCTGGCAGATGTTTCATCCCCAGAACCTGGAGCTGGTTTGATGCCTTGAGCTCCAGTATAATGGTACCTAAGCTAGAAGAGTCCAGCGGCCATTTGTAGAGTTGGTGGTTAAAAATGTCTCCTCCTCTTCCCTTTGCAACAGAACAGTTATGATTTGCAATTGGACATCCAAAAGCCACAAGTCCAAAAACTGTATTTTCAGAAAGTCTAAGCGCTTTAAAGATCCAATCCTCATCAGTGCACTAGACACCACTGAAGTCAGAAGATACCAGAGATGCTCAGATCATTGTAGCGTCATATCCTAGAAATATTTAAACCTTAAACCTTTTAAAAAAAACACTTCACCTCCTCTGGTCCATAGACAGATGTGAGCATCAAATTTCACCCCGTCTTCAATAACCTGCAGAGGTTTCAAAGTGCTCCCAGGCACTCTGAACCTTCAGTTCTAGGGCCTTGTTCAATACACGGTTCTCCCTCTCTCTCTCACAGACACACTTACACTCTAATTTAATATTAGATCTCGGCTGGGCATATAAACCACAGGCGCACAGGAGAAAGGGGACTTTTCACCAGCAGGGATGGCAGATCTCCAGAATGTTCAAAAGGGGCCGGAAGCCTGACACAACCCGCCCGCCCCAGCTCCTATTAACTCCAACAAATTGTTTATTGCACAACAGAAGAAAAATGTTGCCCCTCTCCCCCAGCCAAGTCTTTCCATGTGTGCTGCACGCGCAGGCTCCCTCCTCTTGCCCCCGCTGGGGAGCCAGCTTTATACCCAGGGAAAGGTAACAGCAGCGATTATTACACACACTATCCCACAGCTCCTCGCTTGTTAAAAAAAACAAGAGTCTCTTTTGTGCCCGAAATAAAAGGAGATACCTTAATTAGAACAATGCAGGTTGGTGAGCATTAAACACTGAGCCCAGCTGCTGTATGCCATTAAATTCATAAAAAAGGAGGGGGGAAGGAGGGCAGTCTTAACGAGATTACACACATTGACTTTGATCAAGACACAAAAGCACCAAGGCGTTCCAGGGTTTTTATTGCTGTCTTCGGGCTACATTTTAATGGTTACATTAGAAACATGCTAACACAGGCTGGGAGATTTTTTTTGAGACGGGAGAGGGAGTGCAAGCATGCCTTGTGAAAAGGCCTGGTTTAATAAATTGGGGGCTGTAGGGAGAGGCTAGGACTGGGGAACACATGAGTAGCCACTTATTAATTGCTTCCCCTATGCAAGTGCCAAGTCCTAACACAATGTCTTGCTGGACTATTCCCATCCCGCCTGCCTTGTCAGCTGAAGAGCCACGTGCAGACAGCAGACAGCCAGCACCGTCCCCACCTTCCTCACGGAATTCGAGGGGGCAGATGGCTCCCCCTCTGCAAGGGTAAGTGCTAACCCCTGAGCACCTGGAGTGGGATTTCCCAGTCCTTACCAGCAGCTGTGACTGCTGCACAGGAGACAAAGGGGCCTGACTGAAGTTGAACTAAGTTGCTGCTGAGCGTAAGAACAGCCTGAAATCGGTGCCACAGATTTAGAAGATGACTTGACGGTGCTGGGAAGAGGAGAGGACAAAGACTTCAGAGTAAAGAAAATGAAAAAAGAAATTAGTGTTTTATCCTCTGCGTGTCACACCGCTGGAAGACAAGATTACTCTTCACTTAACTTAGCAAAGGTGGCAGAGCACACATTCATCCAAACATCTCACAACGAGGTACCCACGTATGTGTCTTTTATAACACACTGCTAAAATGTTTACAAAAGCTTGTATAATCTAAATAGTGACACGGTGTAGCTGAAGAGCTATAAAATACAGCCCAAGGGATAGCCAAGTTATTGAGTTGCTATGAGTACTCAAGCCCACAGGCACTTCACCGTCCTGGTAACTTGGACGAGACTTTTAAAAGGCAGGATTTAAAGGAGCATGATCAGCTTAATCGTAAGTCCAAGCACAGAACGTGTTCTGTAAAGTAGATTTTGTAATGCCTTACAGGAACAGTTTTTAGGAGTGGCATTCCCTTAAATTTTTTGCAAACCAACACTGTATCATCTTGCTAACAGGAGAACTAGAAAGCACAACTGACTATTCTTCACTCCTCAACCTCAGCAAAATGAAAGCTTCAAAATTAGCTGCACAGGGGACATTAAAAGCTGATTATGAAGCCCACAGTTTTAACACAGGAAAGGAAAACACTTTATTTAATAACACCTTGAATTTTAACCTGATGTCCTTTAATACATGTATAAATTACTACTGCACTGGGTCACCTACTCAATGTTCAAGGTAGTCTCCAGTCTTCCAAACAGAATAGCATGTGCTTGAAAACTGCACAGTGCTTTTTCAAATAATCTGAAAAATATAGATTCATATTCATAAAAGCTCCCTTCCATATTCTCTATCCTGAAGATTATTCCCTTTGCTTCAGGGGAATATTAGGTTTCTCAGAAGCTATGCATTCTATGAAATCTCAGTGGATTTAGCCTCCATTCTCACAGCTTTACCTCTCTGCATGGATGCCCCACAGGAAATTATGGTAAGGCAAGGCTGTCCGCCACACAGAGCTCTTACATGAGCAACTGCTGTCCCCACAGCAGCAGAGGAGCAAGCAAGGGGCAGGACTGCACCTTGGTGATGACGACTCAAATACAACTCAAGTCACAGCTAGAGTAGGGTGTTAAACAGCAAGGCTTGGAAGTCTGCATGCACAGCACTCAGATTGTTTAAAATAAAGCAAGAAGGACCTCTCCCCTTGGTGAGTTAAATAAAGTATCCCAGAAGAGAGGAAAAAGTCTATAAGTCAACAAGAAAGTAGCCAAGAGCCTCACCAGAGTCCGCAGCCAGCATTCTTCGCAGTGCACATGCCAACACTGAATGGAAGTCAGGGGCATTGTGTAGGAGTCCTGAGGAGAAGAAGCAAATGGGTTATTTCCACAGCAGGGATCTACTGATTCTTTGCTCCCAACCCCATCACAACGCCTTTTTTTGTGGGTAACATTGCCTTGTATTTTGTATCACAAAAAATAAGTTTGTGTAATATGTAAGTTTGTATTTTTGTAATGTTTGTGCAGTAGAGGCAGAAAGTCTCCTGCAGTCCATTTTTCTGGCTTCTCAGAACTCCTGCTGGAAGCCCATAATCTGCTCAAGTGGTGCCTGGCTCAGCACAGTTATCGCAAGAGCATCTGAAGTTGCTGTGGCTACTTGCCATTATTCTCATCAGAAAGGTCACCAGATCATACAAAAAACAGTGAAAGGGTAAGATTAGCCCTTATCACAACTCTTAGTTCTGCAGGAACAGCTTAACTACATCCCAGGAATGCTGCTGCTGCTATTTCCACAGACATTCCTTCTCTTCAGTATTTTCTGTCATTGCTAATAAACCTCTGAAATCAGCAGCAAGCTGTCATCCCTTCTATGGGATGAGAGATGGGGACTGCACCCCCATACCTACAAGTCATGAACTGGGAGAGAGAGCACCATGAATCAAGCTGAAGTTGCAGAGGGAGACCTTCACCAAGCAGAATTTTCTCACACTATCATCAGAATAAAAACCTCACAGGAGATGCAAAGCTTTGCAGGCTCAGACCATCAGAGGGAGCTGCTGCCCTTCTTTAAGAAGGCCACAGCATCACTACAGAGCAAGCAGGACATGAACAACTTTTAAACGCTTAGGCAACGTTCCTGTTCCTAAATCACACGGTGGGTGATAGATCACAGATTCTGCTCCCCCCTATGTATGTAAATCTGCACATGCAGGAAGGGGATGCTGGTATCTGGCAGTTTTCTATAGGAAGGCTGAAAGTCTTCCGAAGTTGAGGCTTTCTTGTCCCTGATATAGATGGACAACTACAAATACCACTGGAACAATGTAATGCATACTGAAATTTCAATTGCTAAGAAGACCTAGCACCTTCATTTGGAAGGCTAAATTGGTGTATAGAGACAAAGATGAGTTCCTCTGCTCTACCTGAAAAGAGGAGAAAAATCTTCTCCCCTCCTTGGCAAAGATACCAAGACATTTCTGATTCATTACCACAAGTGGAGTGCTACTCACCATGCAAATGAGACATTTATAACGGTCCCCACGGGAAAGCTGCCTTTCTAACTCACGGACACGAGCCTTTAACGCTTCAAATGTTGTCACTGCAGAGTCTTCTGTAATTCTGCAAAAGATGATGGAGAGTGAGCATCACTGAGCACACAAGATTGTTATGAGTTTGGGGGTAAAAAGGATCGCACAACAGGTACCACACAGGAAATGGCAACATTCAAATACATCCAACTTGGGCTGAAGAATTCCTGAAAAGCCCAGCGTGGTTTCTTTGAGGTGTCCTACTAAGCGCTTCCAAACACATCACAACAGAACACAACGGGGCTGGGGTTGCCAATGCCATACAGAGCAACTTTCCGCAAGACACAGACATTTAAAGAACAGATTTTTTGTTTGTTTGTTATTTTTGTTTTCTGCCTCTTTTCTTGTCTCCCTTAAGAGATACCTTAGGACCAAATGCTTTGGACAAAGTTCTGTATGTTGCTCTAAAGCTGGTGAGGTAACTTGCTGTGGGCAATATGAGCTGCTCTTCCCCTTAGAGAGTGGAGGTCTTTGCTGGCCATCAATCTTATGAAACAGGAAATCAGCTCATTATACAGGATCAACACAATGCTCTTTTATTAAAAGAAATCCCTATTTTTTTGGGTTCTAACACTGAAAAAAAGGAGAAACCAAAAGCAATGGATACTGTGCCAACAGGGTGGCTATAAAAGCAGCTTTACAATCTCTGCTTTCCCAGTTCCTAGGGTCATTTTTGATGGGCAGCATTATTTCTTTTTGTCACTGAGGCACTGTGCTGAGGGCAGGCAAGTGTATTTTCATGGTTCTGCAAGGCTGGTGAAAAGAGCAAGTTGCCAACCTAAAAGCAAGGGCAGACAGCAACGCTTAGCAAATGAGATGCAGACAAGGATCTGTCACTCCAGCATGCTGCAAAAACTGATTTCTACACAGTGCAGACATAAGGAGGGGCCCTCAAGCATTCCTCAGAAAAGGTTTAGAGTATTGCACTGACATTAAGGCTTTCACTCTTGCAAAAAAACAAAGCAAAACAGCAATTTTCATGTGTCAGTGAATTTCTGGCCTTGACCAAGCAGACTCCAGCTCAGAAGAACCTGAAGGGTACCTCACCACCAGAAGCTGCATCAATCACAACATAACCAATAGTGGCATCCACATGTTCTACCTTTTTAGAGGATGATTCATCAACAGGTGGCTAAAACATGGGTCTAGTGGAATTACTACAACCATTAAAGTGAGCTGCAATCTCAGCACTCCCGCTGCGTGCACATACTTGCTCCTCTGTTCATTAGTCACTTGTTGCCAGCACACAGGGAGGGACTTGAGGTATCCCCCGAGAGGTGATTCTGCTGTTTTTTCCCAAGGCTCTGGAAACAGAGCTAGTCAAAAAGATCTTGAGTGATTTTTCTAGTTATGACACCTCAGAAGAAAATGGGGCTGCAGGAGTGCATATGGTTAAGTACCAGTGTTATAAACCATTGCAAATGACAGTTGCTAGGAAATGGTAACAATTTTAAAACTGCAAAAAAGGCAAAGAAATACACATGTCCTGTGATAGCCTAGTGGGTGAGAACTGCCTGGGGACAGGGACACTCTGCATTCATGTCTTGGTATCAATAAATATTCTCTGGAGCAAAGGAGCTTCAGTGGGAGACACCACTCTGCTGTGAAACACCCACTTGCTCCTACTCATTGGTATAAATTATTATCATCTCCCAGTTTGGGTTCTCACCCTCAAGGAAGACGTGTTAGTGTTTTCAAAGAAAGTCTAGGAAGGTGTTATTTTTGTCCAAGGAAGAAACAGAATTTTTTATTTATAGCTTGAAGATTATTGTTGGATGAGAAAACTGTTTCCCTTCCAGTCTGGCCCACCAACAAGCTGATGCTGGATGAAGGCTGCAGCTGAATTTGACTTTCTGGAATCCATTTCTTCTTCCTGCATGCATAAGGGCACTGGAGTTTTAAAAGGCAGCAAGTGTGGCTCCTGCCCAAAGTGAGCGGCAAGCAGAACCTCAACCCTTGATAAATTCTTCTATTGCTATCCATGGAGCTATCGGTCCTCCTCTGAAGGGCAGGTGACTCAGCAAGGACAGGGAAAAGTGGAATCCTTGAGCAGATCCAAGCAAAGGCCAATCCATCCCCAGTCCCAGCCCAATAACAGTCAAACCTTGGAAAGGAAAAATTTGCCTCTGCAACAACTAGAGGAGATAGAAAATGGCTTGTTTATAGAAGTCTAAATGGCTGACCCCCATCAGCCAATTTCGGAAAGTCTCTGAGATAATCGCACCTGTCCAGTAATAAACGAATGAATCAGAAAAGGAGGCTGAATAGAGGTATAAGCAATAATGCTCAGAGGCTGCCTGATACAATGGCCAATCAATAGGAGGGCTGTAGATCAGGGTGCTAGTTAGCTGGAAAATTACCGCACCGCTGCGTGCGTCACGCTGTAGGGATCCTGGACAATCAATGTGGGAGGTATTGATTTAGTTATTATCACTTCATACGCTCCAGACATTGTTAAATATACATTTATTAACAAGACTGGGGTGCATTGGTAAGAGAGGGAGCTTTAAACACTGCGATATCTCCCAGCGCTGATCAAAGCTCAGCTGTGACAGACTTTAAACTCCATGTTCTCCCTGACAAGCATACTTTCAGAACAAATCCTGATGCACAGCATCATGCTGAAGACACAGCTCCTATCTCACAAGAGAGAGATTTTGGCCACAAGTGAGTATGTTGCACTTGAGGTTTCAGGAAAGCCTCCCAGAGCAGCAGCAACCAGGGACGTGGCGGCCAAGGGTCAACCCAAATGGAGCGATAATTGCATGGTTGCTTCCGAAAAGCTGGAGGAAATGAGGTCAAGGGAAATAGGGAGAACATTAGTAAATAAAGGAAACTGGAACTACCTCCAGGGATGGAATAAAGACAAGAGTCACTTCCCATGTGTCTGGCTCCCGTGGTGGCCAGCACACTTGGGACACATGCCATTCCATTTAGTGACATTTTACCGTCAACCTGCTGCTTGTATCCTAAAGATAAGCATCGCCTAGGAGCAACTCTTCCTGCAGCAGCAATCTTGGGAACTCCCTCAGGCTTCCCTCTTGCGTGCACACCTCATATGTGCTTGCCCCGACACAGCTGGGAGCAGCCTGTGCAGTATTTTTACAGGGTAACGCCGGGGTGGAGTGAGGGTCAGAAAGCCGAGCTCCATGGACAGGGTAAGGCTGTGTAGAAGTTACCCTGCTGCCAAGGGAGGCAGAGGCAATTACAGGGAAGAAGGAATTGGCTTCCACAGCCTTGCTCTCCCTGCTTTGCCTTGACCTCATGCTGGATGTAGGAGGACTCTTTTAACAATTTTGCGCCTCAGCGCTCTGATTTGACGTGTTTGGATAACGTCATTTATCAGCCTCCAGAGAGATCTGCTGAGCACAACTGCTGCCAAAAGCAATGCCTCGAGCCCCAGCGCTGGTGCTTCCCCAACCATGCAGGTGCAAGCAGCCTCGCCGATACCTGAATTGTTCTCCCTGGCTGAGAACGTATCAAGAGGGCACATCTACACTACTCACTGTGGACCTACATCACCACAAACAGGGGAGCCTGAGCAAGAACGTTTATAGAAGAGCAAAAACACGAAGGGAGGGCTCTTCGCAGAGGAAGCTTGGTCCTGCACTTCTCTCTGGACTTTGTGGATAACTCTTCAACAACTTGTCAGTCACAGCTGAGGATGCTGGGTGCCAGCGAGCAAGTCTATGAGACCTGACAGACAGATAGTTTTGGGTCTTTGTGCCCAACGCATGTTTTACTACTGTTCATAGCATTTTCCCCTCAGCACTAAAAATAAGAACCAACTTTCTTCCTTTGAGCAATTCCTTGCTTTGTTCAGGTAAAAGGCCAGCAGAAGGACATAAAAATACCAAGTAAAACGAAAAAGGACCTATCCATAGCTTTGAGTTCAGCAATCACATCCTGGGAAATCTCCCCTGGGAATCAGCTGCCCCTGCCACCTCCCCTTCACAAAAAAACTTTAACCTAAATGCTGGTTATTTGTCAAACATTAGCATGCATGTGATCTTTGTTTCTCCAAATTAAATCGAGCAATTCTTACCCACTGTCCCAGTGGGCAATCACAAGCAATTCCGTTAATTAAATTATCTCTGATTCTACAGCTCTGGAATCTCTCAATTGACTAAGTCTGTGCTTTATCATCAACAAAATACTAGACCAAAAAGGAAACAAAAAAATGCTGATGTCAAAGTGATTGGCTTCAGTTAACCCTTCCCAGCTGGATATGAAGGGCTGCTCAAGAAACTGTTAGACTGGAACAGGCCCAAGAACAAGAGCCTCGTACCAGAGATACCAGTAGCAGCTGTTCACTTGTGTTTCCTTTCCACTGTAGACAAGGAAAAAAAAAAAAAAAAAAAAAATCACTGCATCCAGCATCCTTCCTATCTGAGAGCCACAGAAAGATGCAAACTACTAGCTGCTGAAAAGGCAGAAAAACACCTCAAAGATTAGTCAATCCCTGTGAATACCCATTCCTCCCCTTACCCAGATCTCACCTGATGCACCCCACTGTTGAGGAGTCTTCACAAAACATTCCCCTTTGGTTTATTTCAACTGGATATAAATTTTCCTTTCTTCATAAACGGCCACACTGTACACAGCATTCCATAAATTTTTACAATTCCACTGTTTGTATGTACCTTGTAAAAACCGCTTAGCACTGATTAAATGCACCACCAATAAAATTTCATTAGCTACTTTTGACATTTGATATTCTGACCTTCCTCTCTCTTCCTCATACATATATTTTTGGTTTTGTATGCCTGTAAACACAGAGTGGCAGAGGGGAAAATGTACAGTACCACCGACAAACCTGAGTGATGTCTTTATTTTTAAACAAAGCCTTTATCTTTCCTTGTCAGAGGTGGAGAACCTGATCCCAGCAGAACATACATGCCCTTTCCCTGCACCAGCGGCAGAGGTCAGGTCACTAGCAGCTTACATATCATAAATATTAGAAACAGACTGGTCGATGCTTTGAAGGCAGAGTCAAGCTAAAGTAAGATTCCAGAGAAATTGCTCCTGGCT